CCCGGCTCTCCCGGTGGGCTCCCCGGGATCTGACGGTGCCGTGCCCGCAGGCAGCCCCGCGGCGGTGGAGGCGGCTCTCGGGGCCGTGGCCGCGCTCTTCCCCCGCCGCCTGTTCGGGGACGCGCTGCCGCCGCTGCTGCTGCGCCACCAGCTCTACAGCGTGCTGCCCGACCGCACCGCCGTGGACCGGCACCTGGTGAGCGCCGGGAACACCGGGACCCCTGGGAACACCGGGAGCACCGGGAACACTGGGACCCCCACCGGGACCCACACCGGGACCCACACTGGGAACACCGGGATCCCCAATGGGACCCCCACCGGGAACCCCAATGGGACCCCGGGATGCCCCTGGGACCCCCATCGGGAACCCTCCGGGACCCCCAGGACCCCACCAGGAACCCCAAAGGGAACCCCCAGACCCACCAGGACCCCCACCGGGACCCCCAGACCCACCAGGACCCCCACCGGGACCCCCAGGACCCACCGGGAACTCCCGGAACCCCCACCAGAAACCCTGGGATCCCCACTGGGAACCACCGGGACCCCCATCAGGAGCCCTGGGACCCCTCTGGGAACCCCCAGGATACCCCAGGATCCACCAGGACACCCACCAGAAACCCCGGGACCCCCAGGACCCCCACCAGGACCTCCAGGAACGCCCCCAGGACCCTCCAGGAACCCCCCCAGGACCCACTGGGAACCCCCTGGGACCCCACCAGGAGCCCTGGGACCCCCAGGACCCTCACCAGGACCCTCCAGAACCCCCCAGGACCCACTGGGAACCCCCCGGGACCCCACCAGGAACCCCGGGACCCCCATCGGGAACCCTGGGACCCCCTCCCGGGACCCCCGGACCCCGCGCCGGGCCCTTGCTGACCCCGTGCCCCCCCAGAACCGGCTCCGTGATGAGGGCCGGGTGCGGCTGCTGCACCTGGGGCTGGGCCCTGACGCGCTGGCCGTCGTCAGCCTGCCGCTCTACCGGGAGAAGGTACCGGGGACGGGGGGTGGGGACCCCCTGGGGGTGGGACCCCCCAGTCCCCCCCAGGTGACCCCTGACCCCTCAGTGACCCCTCAGTGACCCCCAGGTGACCCCTGACCCCCGTTGCAGGCGCTGGCGGCCGTGGCCGGGTCCCCCCGGGAGCCGCTGGTCCGGCGCTTCCTGGAGGCCGCGGTGGCAACGAGCCCCGAGCTGAGCTACGAGCAGAGGAGCATGAGGGAGATGGGCTTTGGGGACAGTGACATCACGTGAGGGACACCGGGGGGACATGGGGGACATGGGGACACCGGGGGGACACGGGGACATGGGGACACGGGGACAGCCTGGGGACACGGGAACACCGGGGGGACATGGGGACACGGGGACACGGGGACACGGGGGGACATGGGGACATGGGGACACCGGGGGGACACGGGAACACCGAGGGGACATGGGGACATGGGGACACGGGGGGACATGGGGACATGGGGACATAGGGACACGGGGACACGGGAGCTGAGCTACGAGCAGAGGAGCATGAGGGAGATGGGCTTCAGGGACAGTGACATCACGTGAGGGACACTGGGGACACCGAGGGGACACCGGGGGGACGTGGGGACATGGAGACATGGGGGGACGCGGGGACATGGAGGGGACATGGGGACAGCCCAGGGGGAGGCTGTGGCGTCATTTGGGGTGAGATTGGAGGGACAGGGGACACTGGGAGTGGCACTGGGGACACTCGGGGTGGGGTTGGGGACACTGGGATGGGGTTTGGGACACCTGGGTGGGGTTGGGTGTCCCTGAGGTGGATTTGGGGTGGCCCCGGGGGTGTCCCCAGCCCTGAGTCATGTCGCCCCATGTCCCCGTGTCCCTGTGTCCCCAATGTCCCCCCGATGTCCCCGATGTCCCCGTGTCCCCCCCGTGTCCCCGCAGGCAGCTGGTGGCCGCGGGGCTCCTGACCGTGCGCGACGCCGGCAGTTGGTGGCTGGCGGTGCCGGGGGCCGGGCGCT